TTAAAAGAAAAAAGAAAAAAAAAAGAAACTGTGGAGAAAAACAATCTGGTAATGATTTTAGGGTGACATTACAATTTACTGATGTTCATGAGAAATCACAAGGTTACTGCTATGATGTTTTCATGTTATATGAGTCTTATTTTATATTTAGAATATCAACCAAAAAAGATATATAAGAAATAATTGAGTATTGTATTAACCTGCCCTTTGAAGAGAGAAATTTTTCAGCTCACTGACTGCCTATATAAATGCCAGGAGAGACAAAGGCAACAAAATTGCAGAAATGAGGGTATCATCAAAATTGCATCTTCTGTCAACTGACCTTAAAATACTATACCCAGGACACTTGGAGCATAAAAATAACTGGGATTTCAGTGGGTAGATATCACAGAAACTATGAAATGTAAAGGTTGACAGCTTTTTAATAAATTTGGCTCACATTTACCTATTAATCCTTTAAATAATATAATCAACACATTAAAAAAAAACTAGAAAACTATAAGAACAGAAATTGAAATTCTCAGCAAAATTAATTCCAAGTTTAAAGAAATCAATGTAGGAGGATCCCATGAACTCTATTAAAACGTATCTTTATTATATACTCTAAATTGTCATCCTTAGCCTTGATGTCAAAAATGTTAGTGTTAAAATGTTAGAGAGAAATACCTAGCCTAAGCTTGTACTTTGGGTTTAATAATACAAAAGCTATCTATATTGATTTTTTTAGTCCTCTAATATTGACAACTTTTTTTAAATTTTAGAAATTTTCTTTCTCAGAGAATGATACACTTGGAAACAAGAATATTCAACTCTGAGGGGAGAAAATGCAGACTACTTTGCCTGAACATATCAAACCCAGGAATTTGAATACAAGCAGATTTACAAAATCCTGAGGGATCATGTAAGATAAATGTTTATTAGCTAGAAAAGCAACAAAATCTATTTGTGAAATCCCATACTTACAATAATTTTCTAACCATAAGAATAGTTAAAATCTATGGAGAAGCATATTGTCCTCTGACTTTTTTTTTGGGGGGGGGAATGTTGTCCATACTAAAGGGGAACCTCAAGAATCTCAGGAAAACCAAGACTGAGCTAAACCACAAATTCTCAAAAGATTAAAAAAGTGGATATGTAAGAAATTTTAGTATAAAAGATAAAACTTAATTGGCGGTTTAGAAGAAAAGCATCACCACAACCTAAAAGTTACAAGGTTACTAATTCATAAAATATATAGCTCACCTAGAATATTTTATTTTATTTATTTATTTATTTATTTATTTATTTATTTATTTATTTATTTATTAAATTTATCTTTATTGATTTCAGAGAGAGGAAGGGAGAGGGAGAGAGAGAGAGATAGAAACATCGATAATGAGAGTCATTGATCGGCTGCCTCCTGCATGCCCCCGACTGGAGATCGAGCCCACAACCCAGGCATGTGCCCTGGCCAGGAATCGAATCGCGATCTCCTGGATCCTAGGTCGATGCTCAACCGCTGAGCCACGCTGGCTGGACAACCTAGAACATTTTATAAAGCATAGACCTATATAGAAATCTACTAAAAGAGAGTATTTGGGGAATCTTTAAAACTTGATTTATGAGTTCTGTGGTGAGATTATTAAGCACTTCTGTTAAAAATAAAACCATAATAAATATTTCTCTTTGCTTCATGGTAATAGAACATTAGAAAAGCTGTTATAGTTTTAAAATTATAGTTCCACTGTGCACACAATGTTTTCTCATTATACAACAATACTAGAGGATCTCTAGCATTTTCAGTGCTTTACAATTCATAAATAAACATTTGTTAGGGCCACTCAGTGTAATCAAAGATACCTAAATCTGCACAGATGATGATGAGAGGGAATGAAAGAAAAAGAATCAGCTCTTTCCATATATGCAGATGAGAATATTTCTGTATTTCATAATAAATCTGATGAAAGATTTTAAACTAAAAGAAAAAAGGGTCATTTTAGTTAGGTCATGATGTTTCTAAAATTTGATATTGTAGTTTACTTAATGAAAATGAACTTCAAAAAATAAACAATAAACTTCAAACCACTGAAATTCATCAATGCTCCATCCACTCCTAAGTGGTGAGAAGCACCCTATGGAGAACCTAAGTTAACACAATTCAAATCACATTAGTTGTTTCAGGAAGCTATTTCCAAATTTATAATCTAGAATAAGTATAAAGAATACATGTCTGCAATAGAACAAATAAATGATTGGCTAACAAAAGTAAAATCCTAAGTGATTTCCATGGGGATTGCACAATATTATTAAGTATGATTTAGTTATAAAGAAATGAAAAAATGAGTTTATAGCTATTTTTAAACTAAAAATAATGTGATAAATACATTATCAGTACAGTAAGACCCGTGATAATTCTGTGTTTGAAACTGGTAATATTCAGGACTTTGCTTTGAAAGCCTATGATCTTGGATCTTATTTTCAAAAATTTGATCTGATGTTAAAAGATAAGTCATAACTTGGGTTTCAGACTTCAGTGTTTCAGAAATGTGTTTATATACTTCATAATGTAATTATAGCTATCTTAAAACAGATAAGGCAAATGGTAGCAATATTTTAGAAATATAATTGAAAAATGCAGTTGTCCAGAAGCACTTGTGGGTATGATGTCTCTGAAAAGCTGCTCAAAGCTCTAGAGTTTGAAGTTAAATTTTTGATATTGTCACTCTCAATCTATTGAATGGCTGACAGACAATCAAACCCTTCTGGCTGGCTGGCAGCTCATTTTGCTGGCAGGTGGCAAACAATTAGACACACCAATTTGTGCCTCCTGATGACATTAAAGCATGAAACTAAGTTGTATGCAGGGCCTAGTGATTTGTGTGAAAGCATTTCAAAAATAATACTCTTTGCCGTGGCAACTCATTTCAGACTGCCACCTCCCATTATGGCTTTGAGCAGTGAAGACGACAGACTTGAGTTACGTGCAGTGCAAGGCCACTTCTGTTCAATCCTTCATCTGCGCCCCCAGAGACCTCAATCCCCTCCTTTCATCAATATCACCTCATCATTTACATTTGATAATACTTGAGCTACTGCATATATTAACTACGCTGGAGACCCTTTTCCTAAAAAGAATTAAAATATGCTTTGTGCACTTCAATTTCATTTCTACTTATAAAATTTACACTAATGATTCCACTCCCATTGCATGTTGCACAAAAGCTCCGAAGAACAAATCAAATAGTTCAATTTTTTAAAGCAATATTCTCAAAAGTGTAATAAATTTTGAGTAGCTAAAAATATTGGCACTCAGGTGATTGCTTTGTTAAGGTTTATAGAACAAACTGTTCTAACAATAATCCAAAGTAAAAATGTTTTACTTAATCTTATTTTACTACCTTTTCTTGTGCAAATTACAAGAATTCTCTGTATTTACTGTTTTGTATTTTAACAAAATTTAAATATATAACAAAATTAAATGGAATGCAAACTTTCATTACTCTAAACTAAATTATCATAACATTTATTTATAGAATTATATAATTAAAGATACTTACATTCATATTTATATGCACTCATAAATGCACATACCCAGATATCCTGGGACCATAAACCAAATAGGTGAGATAGAGGACATTAACACGAAATGACATAGGAACATAGAAGATATCACATGAATGAACATCTGAATATTAACACAAACTATTTTAAAAAGAAATGTCTTTCTACATTTATAGAACCCTCCTTTTTCAGTTTTTTAAATTTTTGACACATAACACATTTTATCTTATATAAAAATTATTTGCAAACAGTTTTATCTCTATTACGCCTAAATACATAAAAGACAAAATATTTTTTCATCTTTATTATCCTACATAATGACTAATGTCATTTATATCTTCACAATAAATTTTCAAGAAATATCTGTAGGACACTGGTTAAAATGTGTAAAGGCAAATTTAAATTTTGTTTTTATATAAAAAAGATAATCCATCCTAACTGAAAATGGCTTTCCTGCCACTCCTCTACTCCTAAACACCAAAAAATTACTGTCTCTAATGTAGACAAAACAGTTTGACGATTTTAGAAAAAGTAATATGGAATAGAGATTATAGTTTTACATTACAGGTTAAGAAACATTTGATTTCCTAACTTGATTCTTTCTAAAAAGAACTGCTTGCCAATCACTTCACATACATATATACGTTTTTATGTAGGAAAAAGTGTTTTGAACATTCAGAAGGTAAAAAATAAAAGTATGTAAACATAATTTGGAATATGTATCAAAGTTAAGTAATATTGTCAGAATTAATGACTATTCTAAAATATTTTTCTAATGCTGCATATGTTTTTAAATAGTAGAATATATTATTTGCACAAGTTCTTTGTTTCTAAAATATTTTACTCTTCTGTGACAAGTATAATGGAATAGAAAAACAAATTTTTGGTTCTCAATTAAAAGTTCCTCGTATGATTAACATCTGAATCTAAACAGATAGATGGGGCCATGTTATAAATCGTTTACAACCTTAAAATGCCTTTCAGCAATATTTACTTTCCAATATATGTCTCAAAATATGGCTTTTACATGGATAATATAAATTCCATAAGAAAGATGATCACACATTTAAATTTTTTTTCTATACACTTCCATTTAAAACTCAAATTTGAATTTTATTATTTAAGGTAGGCTACTTAATATCCAACAATTATTATAGTTTTCATTATTATTATAATGGAATGTCAGAACCAGACTTTGAAGAAATCTGGCCTATCCACTCCCCATTTATATCCATAAAACAATTAAGTCCAAAAAGATCAAGTGACTTCCCCAGTGTAGTGTAGCCATTTGATGGTCAATTATAACCAGAATCTGAGTTTCTCTATTTCTAATTCAATGTGCTATGCCTTACTAAGAGTTAAATCAAGGTGGTCTGTCACTTAGACCTAATATTTTTAAATTAACACTCAAATGTTCCTTCCATGTATAGAGCACTGTAAATAATCAGTTCAGTATTTACCTGTCAAAGGAATGAAACTGCATAGGAAGAATAGCTTGCGCTTCTCTTTTCAGTGCTGGATCCGGGTATGGGATAGGATCAGGGCCACATTCTGCAATTTCAATTGGAGCAGCCACAAGACTTTTCAATATTTCCTTGACATTGATGCCTTTGGTTTGACTAATGCTAGATATGGATGGTGCAGGCTTCAAAATTTCACTGGGGTTCTCAGTTAAGCTTTCCTGTGATTTTTTCACTTCAGACGACAAAGTGGATAACAATTCACTCATGGCATCAGGGCCTGTACTAGGCTCTAATTCTGCCCCATTCAAGATGCTAGCCACTTGCTCTTCTCCAATTCCTGAATCTGTATGAGGAATAGAACTTTCTAGCTGAATTTCTTCACCGGGTGCTGGTGTTTCTTTTTCCTTTATAGTGTCTGGAAATGCAGCAGCTGTTTCTGTAAATGAAAGAAAACGGTTTAAATAAAAAGTAACAAGTGGAAACCCAATAATATTAATAAAATATTCTCACATATTAGAGAAAGTAAAACCTGTAACAAACAAAAAAATCTGCTATCTGGATGTGTAGGACAACTGGGTTAAAATATATTCATATATACCTGTATTTGTTCAATAACCATCAACAGACCCTGTTTCTTTAATAAATCATCTGGCATTTCAAAACTGGTATCTTTAAAAACAAGGACAAAGTTCCTATACAATTATTCATAACATCTTATAAATAATTATAATATGAAGTTCCCCCTTTATCCTTTCATTGCTAGCTAAAATATTTAAGATAATTTTTATACTTCTCTAATACTGTTCTTAAAATTATATCATTTTATACCTTTTATGGTACTTTAATAACCAATATGTCTAATTAAAATATCCAAACTAGTTGAAGATAGCATTTTAAAGTTCCATAAACATAATATGTATAATTCTGAAGAGTTAAGTGTAAAAAGCATGTCAAATGATTAGTTCAAAATAATAGTTTAATAAGAAAATAATGATCCTCAAGAATTTAGCCTACATGTTCCTTTCTTCAAGAATTATTTTATGATACTTAGTTTTTTTGAATAAAAACTTCAATTTATGAAAACTTAACTAGAAAACTATAGGTATTAAATACACATATAAAATTACCAATTAAAATAAAGAGAAAAATATCTTTAAACTATTAAATTCATATTAAATCTCATTACACAAAGGTTAATATAATAAACTTCTCCATATAATAAAATGTTATCAAATTGTAAATGATGACCTTAAAAAGTTTATCTAATCTAGAAAATGATAAAGATAATAATAGATCTTAAGTAACTTTGAAGAAAACAAGTTACATGTAAATTATTTACAATACCTTCTTAGATTCTTAGTAAATGTTAGCTATTTACAAATAAATAATATCTTCATATTATTCAATAGTCCTAGTAAGCAATATTTAATTAAATTGACTTAGTAAGCAATATTTAATTAAATTGACTAAAATATTAATTTCTCACAGTTCAGTGTTATATTATTTTTCCTTGTATTTATTAAATAGGTTTTAGTTTTGCATATTTGTTTGATGTTAAAATTGAAATAAGAAAATATTAATTAGTATGATATGATGATAATATTTAAAAAGTGGGTGACGAACATGAAGAGTAGAATAGACCTATTCTTTGTTGATCATAAGACTAAAAATTAAAATAACTTCACAAAAGTTTTAAGAAGACAAATTATTTCAATAGTACTACTGGAAAAGCACTACAGAAAGAAAAATTTAAGAGGTAAAGATAACAGTTTGGCTGTTTTATAAAACCTTGTAAAAGAAGATTGAGACTTAGAATAATACCATTAGGAATAAACAGAAAGGGAAAGAATCAAGATGTTTATGGAATATCTAGCTTAATGAAAAAAAAGAATGGTGCAAAAGAGGAATGTATTTGTTCAGAAAAATAATGAAAGGTTGTGAATCAATTAAGTATACAGAATCTCTGGTATATTTATATCTTCAGGTCAAGATAAGTATAGAATTATACTTCGGGATCATTTAAACTAAGGTGCTAATAAAAATTTTTGAAGTTTCAAAATAACAGGGATACAAAATGAGAAGATAAGTTGTTGAAAGCAGTTATTTCCACTATCAGTGATACTACTGAATTTATTTAGTACTTGTGTGCAACTACAGATAATATATTTTTGGACACAAAACAAAAAGAACTAAATAGTAGTAGTGATATTTCTGTGACAATAGGACCGAGAATGTAAACACAGAAACAAAATAAGAACCCTAACATCAAGAAAGAGTCAGTATCATGGTCACCAGCATGGCCAACTTTTCTTACAGAGTTTTATTATCAAAATGTGTAAAATCAAGTCTACCACTTAGTCTGACTTTAACTAATTTGTAGATTTCGCCTACAGTTTTCACTTTACCCTAATGTGATGTCTCAATATCTTTATTTATGGTGTGTTTTACATCGAGGTACATGAAAAATGTAAATGTTTCAAGTTTTATTAGTATAAAATATAAGCATTTTGCTAGCAAAAAAAATATCAGAGGAAATAAAATATTTAATTTGGTATCTACAGGTACCATAAAAAAGATCTATCCATCAAATATAATTTTTTACTGTTTCGTTCCATTGATTCTCAATGGACCATTAAAATCTTTAACTCATTAACTAGATACTTAAAACTCCATTATAAATGTTAACCTCTCCATTATAAAATTTATTAAGTTTGAGCATTATAAAACTTTCAAATGAATCATCAAAATATTTACACAGTAATAAAAACCTTAGTTTTATTTTTACTGTGGCTGATAAAAAAGATTTCAAAAATGAAGCAGTAAATTGAATATTTCAGTAAGAATTCTATTCAAATAAATACATTTTGTAAAGCTTCCCTTGTGATCATGTCACACAGAAATAAAAATAAACACCAATGGAAAATTTTATAATAGCAATTATAAATTACTATTACTATAAAAAAATAGATGAATAGTCAAAAATCTTAATTTCCCATTATGCATTAACATCTTTTACAGAACATGCATAAACATCAGTTGATAGCATAAACATCAGTATGTTTTATTGTGACACTAAAGTGCTTTCAGGATTTAACCCAAGTAACTCCAATAGGATGGTAAGCAATGGGAAAAAACGGGGGACATCCGTAATACTTTCAACGATAAAGATAAATAAAAAAACCCCACAAAAAAAAAAAAAAAAAAAAAGGAGAGAAANACACAGAAATAAAAATAAACACCAATGGAAAATTTTATAATAGCAATTATAAATTACTATTACTATAAAAAAATAGATGAATAGTCAAAAATCTTAATTTCCCATTATGCATTAACATCTTTTACAGAACATGCATAAACATCAGTTGATAGCATAAACATCAGTATGTTTTATTGTGACACTAAAGTGCTTTCAGGATTTAACCCAAGTAACTCCAATAGGATGGTAAGCAATGGGAAAAAACGGGGGACATCCGTAATACTTTCAACGATAAAGATAAATAAAAAAACCCCACAAAAAAAAAAAAAAAAAAAACAGGAGAGAAAGAATAAATGTTTGCATCTGTGCAGGTTATATCAATGACAGTAGACCTGTAACTTTTCAATAGCCCCCATCAGTTTACTTAGGAGTATGCCATGTCAGTACACAAAGCTGAAACATTACTAGCCTAAGTGATCTTAACCTTCTCAGAAACAAGCAGTTGGAAGCCAGATGCCTCATTTTATTACTGTGCTTCATTGAGTCTAATTGAGTTCATCTAATAAATTTTGGGAAAATTATGGGGTTAAGTCCAGCAAATGACATGATTTCTACATGGTGGCCACATTTATCACATTCCTTTCTGCAAAAATCTTGTTTTACAGTGATTTATAAAGTATTTCAATATGTCTTATCTATTAAATTATTCATATTGCTATTTTCCAAACTAAATAAGGAATAACATGAAAGTAACAATCAGTTCCTTGTAGTATAGCACTAAATACTAAGATTAATTATTTTACTACAAATAGTAATACTAAGGAAACTAAATCACATTAGAATGATTTAAAATAAAACATTAAAATCTGTATATAACAACCATGTATATTTTGTTTATATTAAATCCAAAAATGTTAAGTTACATAAAAATTAACCTGAATTACAAAAAAATTCATAAAATTTTAAAAATCATTATTAAAGTTCATTTTATACAACAAAAGAATGCAATAAGCATTGAGTAATTATTTGCAATTAATTATATGCAATTCAAATTTTTTGTTTGCTACAATAAATGTATAACAAATACAACTTCAGGAATTCAACATTATTACCAAAAACATGGCCATAACAGACAAAATTATAATTTAGAAGAAACCATTACGGGCCAAGAAGGTACTACCAACTGATGCTTTGACTATGATGTGTAGATCTGTATGAGTTTATTCTACATGGAGGGCTTTGAGCTCCTTGGATTGCACAGTAATGACTTTCATCAAATTGAGACTTTTCAGGCCAATATTTTATCAAATATTCTTTCTGCCCATTTTCTTTCTCTCCTGTCTTCTGAAACTCTCATATGTGCATGTTGCTTCACTTGATGGTATCTAACAGGTCTCTGAGGCTCTCTTTATTTTTCTTCATTATTTTCTTCATTCTGTACCACAAAGTATGATAATCACAATGTACCTTTCTTAAAGTATGCTGATTCTTTCTTCCGCCAAGTCAAACCTCCTGTGGAGCCCCTCTAATGAATTTTATATTTTAGTTATTAAATTTTCAACTCCTGAATTTCTACTTGGTTCTTTTCTATAATATTTCTTTACTTATACTCTCTTTGGTGAGACATCACACTCATACCTTTAATTCTTCAGAAAAGGTTTCCTTTAATTATTTGAGTATATATTTAATAGCTGGTTTAAAGTAACTATTAAGTCCAACATCAGGAGCAATTCTATACTGTTCTTTTTTTCATCCTGTGTGTCAGCCTTACTTCCTTATTTTGTTGCATGTTTCATAATTTTTTTGTTGAAAATTAGACATTTAAAACATAAGACGTGTCAATTCTGTTTGTATATTGACTCTCCTGAACTAATTCTGTAAAATCTATATTCCTTGTCACCTGCAGCCACTGAAGTCTCTACTCAGCTCAGTGGTCAGCTAATAATTGGACAGATTGCCTTCAGTGTCTTGAACAAGTAAGACTTTTACTCATTGCCAGAGGCTCTATGTGTGTGTTGGAGCACACTTTCAACACAGTCTGTTTACAACTCTCCCTTACCCTTTACTTCCTGCTTGCACAGGGTCTAAATATTACCCAGAGGTAAGTGACTGGGACCTTCTCAGTTCTTTCCTGGACCTCAGTAAAGCCCCAGGGATATGAACATCTTATTCTCAGATCTTCCTTTTAAGTTTTTTGGTAAGGTTCTTGTTTGTCATGGCTAGTACTGCTACCTTAGGCA